AGAATCGAATGTCTGTCCGTCACAAAAATGCTTCTAGTCAGTCTAGCACAGACACAAGTAGGAAGGAAGGATCTCTTATCATCACGTTTGCTAAGCTCTGTTTCGGGAAGAAGAAGAAGAAGAAGAAGCCGAAGAAGTTGAAGTTGCGGCTTCTTTATTCGGTTTGACAGCTGAAGAAGGATCTCTTCTGTTGCGGTTGCGGTTGCGGTTGCGTCGAGGAGGAGGAGAGTGAGTTGCTGCCAAAGCCAAAGTCGGGAACTGTTCAAGTTGAAGGGAAGTTTGAAAAGATGAAAATATGTTAGTAAGCTTTTTGGTTAAATAAACAATGTGCATGAATTAACTAATTTATATAGATTTTTGACCTCGTCATTGTCAAGGGTGAATGTGGAGTCTTGCTGCTGCTGCCGACTCGTCTCTGGTTTTTCCTCTGTATTCTCATTGCTGCTTCCCCGGCGAAACTGAAAACATGCCATTACATCTGCGACCGACAGTACGGAGGATTCTGAGGCCCCGCCAGCTGTCTCAGATGAAGCTACTGCTTCTTTTCCATCATTGACATTGCCGACGCCAATAGCCTCTGATAGTAGATTTGCACCATTTCATTTCCAGAGTAGAGTAGATCAGATCAGATCAGATCAGATATATTATAGATGGTTCGAATTTACTACCTGGAGTTGGACTATTAGGCACCTGCACCTGCAAATGCAATGGCTGAGATGGCCTTACATTTGTGTCTCCCAGCCCTAATATTCTAACTACGTCTTGAAATCTAGCCTCATCCTGCCGCTCTAAATATGAGATCCAAGTTGCGTCGTCCACATAAATATCCGAAGGCAAGCCATATTCATCAACCTCTTCGTCCTCACAAAGACTCGGCTGCCAGCCATATTCATAAACCTCAGCTTCTTCTCCCTTATCAAGTTTTCCGCCCGCCATAGACTAGTGGAGATTACTGCAAGACACGTTCAGCCATCTAGCTAGATATATCTATGCCCAAAATTCTTGCTACTCCAGAATTAAGATTTGAAATATTTATGCAAATTTTCAAAATAAAGATATCTCTCTCTCTCTCTCTCTCTCACTCTCTCCCCCCCACACCAATTACCTTTTCTCCAGGTAAAATTTCAAGCAACAACCAAATCGACGATAGATGCAGATTAATCTAACCAAAGCAATGCGAATTAGCGGCGCTATTTCTAGGTTTCGAAATCTCTGGAAAACATAATAACAATAAGAACAAGTTCAAAACAGACTTTGTAAAATCTCTCGGATCATTAGGTTCTATCATCGCAATCAACTCAACTGGATTCAAAATTCAAAACCATAATCAATCACAGAAATAGCAGCAATAAACATAATTCATTCAACGCATTGAAATTCATCATCTAACGCTAACCGTATGGAAGGCGCCGAGTTATCGACAGATTTTGAATCCCGCGGAGTGAGTGAGAGCAAATGCAGAAGCAATTAGACACCAGAAGCTCAGAACCAGACTTTTGCTCCTTCACTTTTCTGAAGCGCATATTCAAAAGTCGGTGCGCTCGCACTATTTATACCGTTTCTTAAAATTGCCACCGTGGCATGCACGTGCAACTGCTATATCACTCCCGCCACATTTCTTACAGTTACAGTCGTTTTTTCTAAAATTTTAAATTTAGTTTTCAGTTGCGCCTTTAACAAGAGAAAATAAATAAATAAACTAATACCTAATCTAGACTTTTTCTTTTCTATATCAGTTTATATTTATTGCGTGTGGGGTATTGATATAAATATTTTGTATTTGATATGTGCTTTGTTGTTGATTATTCTGATATATTATATTTGTATTATATTAACTAAAAATTTATTCGCTAATTCATTTTTCGCACATGAATAATTTCCTACTATATTATTTTATAGTATAATATATTTCCCCCATTTTGAAATAGTTGACGCATTTGGTTAGTGGTGTAAGTATTTATACGAATCAGGTGATTTTTTTTTTTTTTTTATGTAAGCAAGATAGTTCTGTTGCTCTAATCTAAATAAACTCTAATCTAATTTTTGTTATTTAAATATGTTTTTTTGTTAGCGGTATTGCATACTTACACAGATAAAAGTGAAGTGTTCAGAAGTTAGTTAGGCTGAATACATAATATTAGAAGGATTGTTTAGTTATTAGTTTTTTTACTAATTATCATGTGATTTGATGTGATATTTTTTAAAGATAATGACCGTTGTTACGGTACTGATTTTCTCATATAGCACCGTCAAATTTTTAGAAAGCACTATTCAATTGTTATAATAGCTTCATTCAAAGTTCAGATAATACCAAATATATTTAAATATGAGCACAATATACATTCTATAGCACTTATATAGAGAACCAGACCTACTTTTGTGGGTACCAGTTTAAAAATAAATAAATAACACATAACTTTTATTTCAAGAACACAGTGTTATTTGCGCTAAAGATTGATACTCACGTAATATTTACTCTGTGCTTTTGGAGAAAATCAACCCGGTGCTGACATCTAATGTGATAGCACCGTAACCGGACCGAAAATAAATTATATAGTTTTATTCTTTTATGCTTGAGAAAAAAAAAAAAAAAAAACTCTTTTTCTTAATTAAACACACAATTTCATGTTACATCATGTAATTGATCTATATGCAGCATTAGACGAGCTCCTCTTTGAACACTAACAATTTTTTGAAATATAATCACTAAGCAAGCATACCGTAGCTTGAAACTTCTATATATAAAATAAACCATTGTAGATCAACCGAGCAAAAGAAATTCAACCTTCGTAATATCCAAACAAAATTGGTAAATATAATTTTCATTGAATAAAAAGTCCTTTTTCACCCGTAACAAAGAATTAAAGTTCATTGGTGATTAAAATCCTAAAAAAACTTAGTTCAAATCCAAAAAAATCGTAGTTCAATGCTTTATTTTTTCAAATAAGATAATCAACAATGTAGTATAAATAATGAAAATCCATAAAAATTTGAAGTATTTGACTAGAAGGCGGAGGAGAAACGGAGAAGGGAAGAAAAGAAATTACTAAATATTCTAAAAATTATAGTCTCAGTCTTTGAATTTTCTCCCGTGATAGGTGAACAGCAGCGACGGCAAACAAGAAGCTTGGGAAATTTTGCCCTAATTATTTTTTACCACGATGAATCTGATAGTGTTTCTCAATTTATGATAGGTTTAGGAGAAAAGAAAAAAGAGCTGGAAAAAAAAAAGCAGGGGGGAGCGGGTAAAAGAGCGGAAAAAAAGAATTTGAATTTTAAAATCCCGTAAAATTCATATTTGATTAGAAGGAGGGGATGAAATTTAAAATAATGGAATTTAAAAAAAGGTTCAAAATCTTACAAATAAGGAATTTTTTTAAAGGGTACCATGTTACTTTTTAAATCCTCTTATAAAAAAAAAATATTATATTTATATAAAATAAAAATTGAATAATTTTAAAATAATATTCATATTTTATATATTTTATTGATATATAATATTAAAAATATTTAAAATATCAACAACACTACTTATATAAAAATAATAAAATAATATCATAACTTATTATTAATAACTTACTAATCTACACTACCTAAAATACCATGTCCTTAAATAAAGAGGTCATCTTGACGGGGACGGAGGGAGTATTATAATATAATAATGACTAAGTTAAACTCAAAAAATATTTTTAATATAATTATATTGTTCGAAATTATTTTTTCATATCTATAGTTGATTTATTATTATATTACCCTGAATATGACCCAGATCCAGACTTATACTTAAATAATTGAACTCAATTTCAAATAAATCGATCGGGCCCAGTCGGGTCTCGAGTTTACGCGAACCTATTGTCATCCTATAAAATTATTGATATTTTTTTAATTTATATTAATAATGAATTAGAGGTTTAATTTATCCATATAAATGAAATTATAGGAAAACAATTATGTTGTTTATAATGTGTTTGTTTTGAGGTTTGGATTTTGAGTTGGGATTTGAATAGTAAAAATTTTGAATTTGAATAATTGTATGATGTAATATAAATAGGTGTTGATGTGATATTTTGAATATAAATTTAATTTTTAGTATAATATTATAAAAAATGAAAAATAGGTGTTTGATACGATTTTTTTAGAAAAAAATAGAATGAATAGTGTATTTAAAATTCAATCTCCAAACAAACACACCCTATATTAAAAACAAACAAGATGTGAGAAATATAAATCCCAGATCATTTTACCAACCAAACATAATAAGATATATTTCAAATCCTAAATATAATAAATCTCATGACATATAAATCCTCTCAATCCCACAAAAAAAGTCCATGAACCAAATATTTTTTTATTTTTATTTTTATTTTTATTTCTAATATATCCCAATATAATACTAATTTTAAAATTTTATGCAAAAAGCAAATAGATAGATAAACATGAGACGGAGGGTGTATAAAATTAAATTTAAATCTAAAATATCTCGACACGATCCTAGATTGTTTTTAGATATCATCGGATTGCTTACAAATTGCTTAGTAATAATATTTTTAAATTATATAATGTAATTAAATTATAAAATAAAATTTTATATAAATCAAATTAAATTATATCCGTTAATGGTCAAATTTTAATTAATAAAATAAATTTATATCTATTATATTTATTTAACAATATAAACAACCTAAATAAATAAAATTTATGTTAGAATGATTGTCTTATTATTAAATTATTAAATGATTCAATTTTTACTTATAATTTATTTTTATTTATGTTTTATTTACATTATTAAGTCACACTATCTATTATATTGTTTTAAATAATATTTTATTTTTCTTTATATATACAATAGAGAGACAAAAATACTATTTTTTCTCACATCTTCTCTCTTTTCTTTCATACAAAACCAAATATCTTAATATTCTCTCTCCTCCCCTAATTTGAACCAAACAGATCGTAAGTCTTGTCTAACCATCAGAGCAGAGAAGAGAAAAAGAGAAGGCTGAGGCAATTTACACAAGATACATAACATGCAAGTTCAAATGACAGACATGCAAACAAAGATTCAAGAATAAGAATTTTTTGGACAAGGAGAAGAGAGGGTTCAAATCCCATTAATTTCACCAACGGCATTTGCATTTCTAATATTTCCCCCAAGCAGCGACAGGAGCCCGCCGCCATGGACTCGCCCTTCAGGCACCTCCAAATCCAAATCCATTACCTGCTGCTTCTTTCCAGGATTTGAGTTGAACGATGAAGAAGAAGAAGAATAAGACACCGACTTCATCGACATAGGAACCAATACCTGAGGAGGGATCAGCTGCTGCCGTTTCCTCCGCCGTTTCTCCGGCGACTCCGAGATTGCGCTAACGCCCGACGACGAGCTCATCTTTGCGCTAACCGGAACGAGTCCCCGGAACAGCCCCGGTCCGATCATCCCTCCTCTCTTCGCATCGCCGCCGCCGCCCTGAACCAGGCTGGCGTGCGCCGCGCACATCCCGCTCTTACCCCGAGCAAACTTTTCGCACTTCTGATCGCCCCAGCCGCACCGCTTCCCGCCGCCGTGGGCCTTGCAGAAGTCCGTGCTACCCTGCGCGCTCTTACCGCAGTTCTCGAACTTACACCGTTTCCCGCCACCGTGCCGGACACAACAATCCGTCCTGCCGCGGGCGCTCTTGGTGCATCCCGGAACAGCGCATCGCTTTCCTCCGCCGTGGGCGACGCAGAAATTCGTGCCTCCGTGCACGCTTTTCGGGCATATTCCACCGCCGTCGAACAGGCAACGTTTCCCACCGCCGTGGCTTTTGCAGAGGGGCGTGCTCCCTTCGGAGCCTTTTGTGCAGCCGGCGAATATGCAGCGTTTTCCGCCGCCGTGGGCTTTGCAGTACAAGGTGCTTCCCTGAGCTCCTTTTGTGCAGTCGGTGAAGCGGCAACGACGTCCGCCTCCATGGGATATGCAAAGGCCGATCTGGCCCTCGGCACTGCGGCAGCAGCCTTCGATTTTACACCTCTTACCGCCGCCATGTCGGATGCACAAACCGGACTTGCCACGCGCAGCTTTGGTGCATCCTCCTGGATATCCACATCGTCTGCCTCCACCGTGAGCTATGCAGTGATCGGTTTTTCCTTCGGCGCTTTTAGTGCATCCCAAATGTTGACACCTTCGCCCGCCTCCATGGGCTTTGCAGTATGCTGTTCGGCTCTCGGCACCTTTGTTGCATCCTGGTTTCTGGCATCGTTGTCCGCCTCCATGGCTAATACAGAGACCTGTTGCTCCTCGGGCACCTTTGGCACACCCCAAGAACTTGCATCTTTTTGAGTTGCTACACCCTTTTTGATCGGAAGACACCACAGCACTTCCAGGGTCGGACATGGCGCTCAGAGTGTAGCCGGAGACTGCCGAAGGCTCTGAACTCAACTGGGAAACTTGTTGGCAATGAGATAACTTGGGATCAAGTTCAAGAAACTTATCTGTTGAATAAATATTTGAACTTTCCTTCGATGGTGCCAAAATAAGTCCCGTCATGTAGCCACCTGATTTCTTGGCGGATGTAGAACCCTCATCATCAACAACAGGAATTGCAGTTCGGTTACCATCTGAGAAATATTGATCAGATAGACGACGAGATCCACTGAAAGGGCTGTTCGTAGAACCTGAAAACTCGAGCATACTAGAACCTGCATCAGTGCCACCTGAGAGCCCAAGTTTCAAAATAGAATCACGTTGAGAAAACACTCCCTGGTCAACTACGCTTGTTCTTCCTTCGACTTTGTCCAATCTGTAGGATGAGCATTCACCAGTATATGCAGTCGGTGTCGGACCCAATCCAAGTACTAACTTGCACCCATCATCAGGAGCATCCATGCATTTACCCCGACTACTGCTGTTCATTTGGCTGTTCCCAGTTTCCATAGTTCCATATCCAAAGCAATCCAATCGCAGGGTAGTATCTCCAGTTCCACCATTACCATTCCTTTGGAAGTCAAAAGAGGAATACATTTTGCCTTTGCTGTCACCAATAAAAATCCCTATTCTATCTGGCTTCTATGTTTTTTCGTATCGAGTGTTGGGTGAGCTGATTGAAGGGGGTTTTACAGAATTATTAACAGGAAATGCTGTATACTAAAATGAAAAAACCAAGAGAAGTAAAACCAAATAAACTACCTCCACCGCTAACAAAACCGGATGTATCTGATCTGTCCATTATATAAAAATTTCCTTGGAATCGTACTGTGTTTATGTAGAGAAACGGATGGCACACATCATAGAGGAGGCATGAGTAAGTCAAAGGTAAATACACATGAGATTTTAGAGCTAAAGATCCTCAAGACCCCGCGTCCTGAAACAGAAAACATTAAAATTATTATAAACAAATAAACAATCCACAAAATTTAACACCACAATCTATAACAATCAGCAAAGCATTTGTAATGAAAATAACACCTTCATTTCTCATAGTCATTAGATCCTAGGGCCATGGCAAATCATCCTCGTAACTTGTCGAAATTATTCTACAGAGATTGTAATATTGTTTGCAGTTATGCTATTTAACCAGGTTTTCAAGCTACTTGACAAAGGCTGTATAAGGTTGAGTGAGTTGTAGCTCTCTCTCTCTCTCCCCCTCTCCCTCTCAATTCATATCAGGTACAAATACCACAAGGAACATTTAGAATCTCACATAGGTCAAGGAACAATTAGACAAGAAGCTCTGAAGAAAAGTTGACTAGTCCCGAACTTGAAAAAAGATTCTCAGAATTATGCTATATTGATCTTTCAATATATCTTAGGGTTACTCTCCACCTTTACTAAAGCTAGTAATCCCACCTCCCAACAAGATATTCGCCTCTGAAAAATGAGATCCACAAAGACATAATTAAAAGATGAGCAAAGAGTCGATCTCTTCTCTTTAAGCAGGTTTAATTTAAAAGCTCTTGCTGCTGCCACATGAAATTTTCATTAGTCATCAAATTCACCCCCTTTTCATCAATTAAAAGGAAATTCAAACAACAGAAAATTGGGAAATCAACAAAACTCCCTACACGCGCGTATGTCAATCACTGAATTGTGTTTGCAGCTGTAAGCAATTTCACAATCTAACACCAGCACAAGATATAACAACAACAATCCACGGAAAATTTTCAGCACAAACGATGAAAAGAGATGCTCAATAACAAAAAACTAAAACATATCTCTTAAATTCCCCAAAAAAATATCTACAAAAACAATAAACAGACAGCCCTTAAGATCACTGTGCCAAAAAAATTAAAAATCAACACTAAACGACAACATAAGATAAAAACAAGCAGTTGCCCATCGCACCAAACTCACCAAAAACACTCGAATTATGGAATCCAATCGCGGCTACCAGTCCCGCCGCTGGAGCTGGAGAGGAGAGAGAAATTACGTAGTTACGAGTTGCAAGTTGAACATTCCATCAAGATTAAGGGTAAGAGAGAGAGAGAGACATGGGACTTCTGATTTAACTTAATTACCACTTAAATAGTGACGACCTCTTCCTAGTGAATTTCCAAAAATACCCCTGGGATGGGGATGAAGAAAACCCACGGTTTTGGGCATAAAACGAAGGCACACATCACTCACTTCAACAAGATCGGATCATGATTTGACTAAAATAGCCTCACAATATTATTTAGATAGTTGCAATGTCAGGGGCAATTCCGTATTTTATAATTGTATTTGAAGGCATGTGATACAATAAATGAGTGGTCTGGTGTGCTCCATCAAATGAATCGTGACCTGTGTAGCACAACTGACCTATGCCTTTTGTTTTGTCTGCTTTATAAAAAAGAGGATATGAATTTTGGGCTCAATTTAAGTTTAGTTGCTGAAATTGTTAAGTTCATTCAATTAGTTGATTTGATTAGCTGATTTAATTAACGATTTGTATTAAAGTGTTTCGTAAAATAAATATTTAACATTAGTTGTTTATATATAAAATAATTATTAAGGACATTGATATATTATTTTTAAAAATATTTAATTTTGTTCATTTTAGTTTGAAATTTATGAGAATTTTTGTTATTAATTATTAAAAATTATAAAAATATTATAAAATATTTATTTTTATTTTTATTATTTAGATTTGAGAAAATTATTTTTAAAAAAAATAATAATTTTTTATTGAAATTATGTAAAATTTAAAATAATAAATCTTTTCGTATATATATTTTTATTATGTTAATTATTGTTTTAATATACATAAATAAATTAATAATCTTTTTTTTCTATTTGCTTTAGTTTTAAAAATTTATATATTTATAAATAAAATAACTTATATGTAATAATTAACAATAGTAATTATTTTAAATTTACAAAATTAAAAATATAATTTAATAAATTAAATATATTAAAAATAATTAATAAATATTGCTATAAGAATATATCTATATGTATAAAATAAATAATCAAGTTTTAAGGGTAAATAAAAAATAAACAAAATTAAAATGAAAAAACTCTTTCAAAATGGGATAAACGAACTTTTCAGAAATTAGCTTTTTGGATTCAAAAAGCTCTTTCAAAAACATAATTTATCAAACACCTAAATTAGTTTTTTGACTGATCTAATAAGTTAAAAACTCTTCCAAATTCTGTTTTCCAAACACCCTCTTAACCTATTCTGACATGTTCTTTCAGCGACTCACCAATTACAAGCTGATAGTTCAAAAAAAAAAAAAAATTGTCCAATGCATACCTAAATCTGTTGAAAGCACGTTGATATTGGTTTTATATACAAAGATGTAATACTATTTATGTATAATAAGTATTTTTTTTTAATATAAAATTTTATTGAATAAACTAAAAAGGATACCATTGATATGGTATTTTTCCTATTTATCAAATTATTAGGTGCTTGATCCAAATTTAATTTAGGGTGTGTTTCTTCTCATGGGTTTTTAAAAAATTGATGTGTTTCTTCTTATGGTTTTGAAAAAATTGAATTTGTATTTGGATTTGAGTTGAATTTTAAAATGGGTTAGAATTTGTGTGTTTTTTTGTGTGTAGGTTTGATTTGATTTTTAGAGGTTTTGATATGTATTGATTTGATGGGTAATAAATATAATAATATAACTATGTATTAAATTTAAATTTTTTAAAATTGATAATGGTATAATTTGAGTATTAATTTATGTTAATTATAAATATATATTTTTATTATATAAAATTTATTTGGTTCGAAATTATATATATTTATTAAATTATAATTATTAAAATAATCAAATAATTGATTTCATGTAAATTTTCTATTTTAGTTTTTTTTTAAAAGAAATAAATAAAAAATTGTTAAAACCCTCCAGAACATGTCGGCTAAGGGGATTTGGGGTCAAACTATTGTGCATAGTAACTGCACAATAGTTTTGGCCAAATCGGTACAGGAGAAAAATACCCATAGTTTAAAAAATAGAATATATATATAATCAAAACCTCTAATTCCACCTATATAAGATATTATTCTCTATTGTACAAGGAGGGAATGAGTGAAAATTATAATAGTCATTTTTCTTTGAATATGTAAGTATTCAAGAAAGTGTTAAAAATTCTAGTAAAATCTTAATGCGTAACTATGAGATAGTAGTGATATTTTATCTCCATCTTATTTCATAGTTTCCTAGTAAAATTTGAATACTCAGTTACGAGATAGTAGTAATATTTCATCTTCACCTTAGTCTTCATAGTAGTAATATTTGAGTTTGTTTATACTCTCTTCGTTTCATAACAAGGTATCCATTTACCTTTTGCGTCATTGTACTTAACGTTAAAAATATTCTTATATTTGTATAATTTTTCATACGAATGTCATTGTATTAGTATTATAAGACACTAATAGAAATATTTTTGCAATTTTTTTTTATTTTTAATACGTTTTGATATAATAATTAATATTCAAAGATCAACATGCAAAAAGTAAATGGATACTTAGTTATGGGGCGGAGGGAGTATTAAAGATTATTCTAGTATCTCAATCTAAGTCTATTGACTTTGAAACCTGTCTAAGTATATTTTAAGTTTGGCGGCGGCTACAGTGCTAAATTTAAGCTGAATTTTTAATTCAATACTGTGCTAAACATCATATGATATGCTGCTTGATAGCACATAGTATACTACATCCAACACAACACATATATTTATACAATACAAATACATCAAATGAACAAAGAACCCATATTATAGTCTCAACAATACATCGTGTGCTATCTGACAGCACACATTATTATTACAAACAATACATTGTATATGTTAATATAATACAAATACAACACATGAGCTAACAACATATATTATAGTCTCATACAACATACACAAAGTTAATTTTAGCACATGACATACTATTGTACAACACATTTACTATTGTAAAAAAAACGACATATACCTTTATTAAAAACGGTTAATTTTTTCAAAATCAGTACCCTAACCATCCTCTTTAAGCTTAGAAAACTTAGGGTCTCAATATCTTCATATTCAAAATTGTAATGTTCTTAAAATTTTAAAGTACTATGATTCAATCTAACTCTCATCCCTCTAACATTTCCTTCCCTTTGGACTGGTTATGCAAGACCACTAACTCATGTTTTACTTATCTGCAATCCTCTCTGTTGCCTTCAGAAAAACAACAAAAATAAATAAATATATAATTCTAATCCACACACTTATGATTTAACCAAATGTTGGATATGGGTCCAAAAGCACCTGAACATAAAAGAGGCTTGACTAGTAACAGAAATATGAAGAGGTTTCTGAACCCTATACGTGACCAAAGCCTCCTAATCCGTCGGAGCCCCCTACTCACCAGACAACAAAGCTCCAAATGATCAGACTTAAAGGAAAATAGCTCCAGAAGATGAGGCTCTAACAAATGAGACTCGAAAACTAAGCCAGAGCCAGAGCCATTAGGCCGCAGAGCCGTCTAGCTATTAGGCCTGAGTGGGCTATGATCAATTTGAAAAGAGCACACCCCAGGCATCAAGCCCAACCACTATTCTGAGGGACAATAAGAGAACATACATGATATAGGGTAATGAAAAAAGCGATTTGAAAGAATACATAACACATTCCTTAGAATCTAGAAAGTGGTTGCACTTTCAACCTTTTAGGTTATATTAAGTAAAACCTCACAAAACACACATTTTATCCAAAATCAAGTTTAATCATTTTATTTTCCAATATTTTATCCGTAAATTTTAGGAATTTTATCCAATTATGTCTAAATTTTCCTTTGTCTTTTGTTAATTTCAACATATTTTATGTTAATTTATATTTCCATGCATATTTTATCCGAATTTCAATAGATTTTAGCTAAATTTTTATCAATTCAACTATTAACGCTCGAAGCCGTACAACGGCTTTATCGCTGAAGCCGCTTCCCAACTTGATGACGGACAAAATTTGTGGGGAGTGTTTTCGGAACTCACACCACTTGATCTTAGGGCACATTATATTCATAAGAGGCTTGAAGCCCAACAATTGGCATACCTAGTGGGACAATAATCAAATTTTACGAGTGACGATGTCTAGACTTATATGGGATTTGTTTGTACCACTTGAAAGTCACCTTTAGGCTTGTAGCAATTCGGCACCAAACGGAAATTACATTGTTGGAGCAAGCTTGAAATTCTCACAGAACCTTATAGGCTTCAGGCCTCATGGCTAGAACAGTTACATTATGGCTATGTTATGATTCTGCCCGAGAAACCAGAAGGACAGGCTGGATCCTCCAGGCTATAGAAGGCTTGAAGAGCAATGCGGAACCTCTATCAAGGACAGGTGGCTTCTCAAATTTTTGCACGTTCCCGCAATAGCAATATAGCGAACAACCTATATGGAATGCGCCAATAGCTCCATGGGGATATCAAGGTTCGTATGTGGCTAATCTCCAATGGATGAGAATTGTCTAGATGTAGGGACAAGGAGGATAGACTGCAGAGATGCAGCCACCAACCTTTTATCAGCATGCAACTGGAGTGTAGCCACTGACCCTAAATCAAAAGAATGTCAAGCCTCTGATAGAAATTGATGTCTTTGTAGATTGCATTGTGTGTAAAAAAATCCAATTTTAGAAAAAGAGGCTTCTAAAGAGACATAAGTTTTGGCGAAAGGTTTGGTGAAGGAAATGATGGAAAGTTCGGCAATGATGAAGGATGAAGGAAATGATGAAGGAAATGAAGGTTTGGTGAAGGAAAGTTCGGCAATCCCTTTTGCATGGAAGACCCAGCAAGGGCAAAGGCCCTACAACTTTAGACGAAAAGAATTCTGCAGGAGCAGAGGCCC